CCCACCAAAAAAAGAACCCTACAAAGCCAAACGTGAAGTACCCCAAGGTCTTTCAGCAAAGCCACGTCATCGTCGACGTGGTGGTAGGTGTCTGCTGACTGTTTGGCGTCCCCACCTCCGGTCACGTGACTGCTGTCTGACGTGAACGTGTCCCAGATACTGCGGCCTTTACCTGTCAAGGTCAAGGACAAAAGTGTTGGTTATTTATGGTCAAATACACTTCGGCCTTTACCTGTCAAGTTCCAAGACAATAATGTAAAGGTTATCTATGGTCAAAGATACTGCAGCCTTTAATTGTCAAGTTGTAAGAAATTCAAACAATTTTGTTTTTCCACCTGCCTGATTCTGAACTTGACACCTAAGCAAACGGTTTGATATTGCGTCCTTGGGAGAAGGCACTTTACACGAATGTCGTATTTGGCTCATTCCTTTCGGCGATTGAAATGAAACTCAGAGGTCCCGTCCCTTGAATAACCTAATAATGTTGATAAGTGCGCTAATCGCAGATACCTTTTCATTTTCCACCCAAGCAAAGGTTCCTCTGTTCCTTCTTCCCGGGTATTCTGAACAACTACAAGATATTCGATAAAAATTCTCCCACTTTGGGAATCGAACTGTGGTCTCTAGCGTGGGACAGTCTCGTATAAGAACGCCCAGGAAGGGAGGTTAAAACCTGTGAGGCCCTTTCCTCATCTAGCTTTATCTATCTGGAACTCTCTCCCACAACATTTGAGGGATGCAAAGTCGAAGGCAAAATATAAAATTCGTTTGAAAGCATACCTTATGAAATGACTTCTCGAAAGTTAGTCCTTCTTATTCATAGAGCTCTTATGTTCATAACCGGATGCGTATATAGTCATTGATTGCACTATGGTATGTGAATATTCGTTTATTTGTAAACGTTATTCTAAAGAGCGTTTGACTCGTGTGCTTGTGTTAGGATGAAGGTATTGTAGAGCGTCTAGAGCGGTTTTGTGTGGAAGTGGGCGCTGTAAGAATATCTACATAATTATTGTCATTACACGATAGACGCCAGCACAAGTTTTGACTCAGGCCTTGAATCTGAACTTTTTCGGGGAACCAAGTGGGTGCTTGACCCGACCTTTGATTGCCCCGGTTTCAGTACAAAACAGTTGGTGCCTTGTCAAAGTACAACTTGTGTTAACCTTCAACGTGACAAGCAAAAAATATCTCGGGCAAGCTGAGAGACAAAAACATCGGCACCGCCTGATAACAACGAGGTAAATGATATGTGAAGAGGGGGGAAGTGGAGGCAAGACGGAGGGGGTAAACCTTTATGGCTGTTTCTTGTTTTGCTTTTTGTTTTTGTTTTGTTTTGTTTTTTTGTTCTTTGGTGTTGTTTTTTTTCTTCGTTAGTGCTGGTTGTGATGATGATGATGGTGATGATGATGATGATGATGATGATGATGATGATGATGATGATGATGATGGCCTTCTTCTTCTTTTCATTCCTTTGCTAGATCTCAAGGGTAGCAGAGTGCTAGTTCTTAATCTGCAGTGCAACTGGGTAGGGTTTTTTTTACGTATATGACTGTTTTTCCTACTTAGTAATCAGGCAGCCACATCGCGCTTTCGTGCGTTTTTTGTTGGGGTGTTTTTTTGGGTGGGGGTGTTTGTTGTTTTTTGTTTTTTGTTTTGTTTCTTTTGCCTGGGTGGTGGCCGAAGTCTTCTTTTATCAATTTTAAGGCTACCAAGGAATCTTTAAGGTGCGCAACATGCACACAAGGCCTCCGAGACTTTTATTCATTATCCGAAAAGGCTGGCGTTATATCTTACCTAAACAAAGATCAGGGGTGTGGCTGAAAACAGCTGTAAGAAAGAGTCAGGAGTAACAGTAGAAAGGATTGTCCTAAAGGAGAGAGGAGCCCAGAGGAGGCCGGGGTTGGGGGCAGAGAGTGGAATGAAAGCAGATGACAGAACAGGACTGTAGAGCAGGAAACGAAGTGAAAAGAGAAAACGTTGAAGAAGAATACTTTTCGTCGCTGTCAGGTTTCGAACTTGAGATATGTTGAATGAGAAGCGAACACCGAACTTTTTTACCACGACAGCCACCGATGATGATGATACTGATGATGATGGTGGAGGTTTGATTCATGATAGACGGGCTATTTTTGGGATACTTTCAAAAAGAAACATAACTTCGTTTTTCATACCGATTTTTCAATTCTGTTTTATGAAGCCGTTATCCAAAAAAGGCAGGCTACAACATACTATGTACTATGAAGTATGCAAAATAGTGTTTTTGGTTTGTGTATGTTGTTTCAAAATGTACCACAAAATTGCCTTCCGTCTGCTTTTGGTGTGACATATCAATGTGTGGCCACGATGTCTTTAAAGAGTAAGAGTCACGGTATGGAAACAGAAGGTTTTAGGTTGGCATAATCACAAAGAAGACAGTGCAGGACGAAGAGAGCAAACAATTGAAAACGAAATAGTCTTGGGGATTTTTTTTTTCTTTTTCTTGGGAGTGGTGGGGGTGGGCTGGCTATTCAATCAATGAAACTTGTGTTTCAACAATGATTTATTTTTTGGTGGGGGT